CTTCTCTAGGAAATTGCATAAAACTTATAATTTTCCTTTGAATGTTCCACATTACTTGGTCTTGACTGATAACTAAACCACTACTCCGGTTAGCTGCTGCCGTAAGAAGTTCAATCTCTAAGTCATCTACTTCATTGTATTCAATATTATTATTTGAAACAGATGGCTCTCCTCTAATGACAGGATCAATGTTGTGTAATTCTGAAGACAAGAGTATCAAATGATTTTTAGCTTCTCTTAGTGTATTTTCATCTAATAAAACATTGACACGACCATCTAAAAAAAATAGTAAACTTGAAACTATCACAGTTAAATAAAGAAGTTTCTCATTTTTGCATAGCTTCAATGATACTATTTGAAATAAATAAATCTAAAAAATATAAAATACAATTAATTTATAAAATAAAATAACAACTATTTAAATTTTGTACAAATAATTGAATTAAATAATTAATAATTACTTATTTTTCTTATGTTTATAATGCATTTCTTCCAATGAAGTAAACAATCTCCTGGGTATAATTTCTGGTCCTGTAGAACACAACTAGTTATTTTAGCTGGTCCAAGAGTATTTTTAGGTCATTTGTAGATGTCCAAAAATCACTGTCTACGTTTAATCTCGTTTGATGTCTACCAAACACCTAACAAAAATATTGACATCCTAATAAACTTTCTAACATATCATATGTTGATTTCTATCGTGTTACACAATCGATTACAGGCCGTTTTAAATCAATATTTTTGAGAACTTCCAAATTTTTCGGTAATCTCAATAACTTCACCAATTCCCGTGATTTGTTTATAGTGGATTTTATATTTTCTATTTTAAATACATCTTGTATTGATAATTGTAAAGTATAAGCAGCACATCGCATACTCCTCAATACCTCCTGCACTCAAATCGTTAAAAATTGAAAGGAACGTCTCATGGTTATTTTCATTTTCTTGTTAATTTATTATATTATTAATTTCATCAGAATATTCAGAAAAATTGCTACTGTTCTCTTCATCTATGTGAACTAGGCCACCTTCAAAATTATGTTCATTTTCAGAAATTTCTTCGTTATTGTCGTAGTCTCTATCCATTTTGCGAATTAATGTAACAGTTTTCAACATATTTGCTCCATTGTCTGTTGTAATACAATAAATAAATTGCGGATATAAGCTATACATTTCCAATGTTTTTTAAAAGCACACATTTTAAGTTGGTAGATGTAGTTTGATAAATTTCTGTCGTAACCAGGTTCCTAATAATCATTTTTTCTAAAAATAAAGATTAAACAAGAATTAAAAAAAAAGGGTACAAATTTAACAGCTTATCTGGGTACAATTGTTACATTTTTATATTTTATTAAAATTTCATTTGGTTTTTTAAATTTAAAAGTCAAAGTTATGTTTATTATGTACCTAGTTATCATATAAGAATTATAAAAAAAGTCAACAATTGTGTTGTTAAACCATTAAGTAACCAAAGTTATATTATTTAATTAATATTTAAATAACATTAAAATAACTATTATTAATTATTATTTAATTTAATGTTATTATGTTATGTTCTTTTTTTAATTTAAATATCATAAGTTATGTTTAAATGTTTTAACAAGTCAAAAATTATGTTCCTAAACTATTATGTTAACTAATTTATATTTAATTTAATTTAAAGGTAACTTTATAAGTTTTATAATAATAAAAAATAATATATATATATATATATATATATATGTTACATTTGTCTCTGTATAGGTTACAGTTGTAACATTTTTTTTTATGTTAATAATTATTCAACAACCTGTGGAAATAAATGTTCAATACACACATATTTTTAAAGGCAACGACATACTTTACTAATAGAAAGTATAAAGTGTCCAAAAAAGTTTGAATTTTGGCTGAAATAAATAATTTCATGAAAAAATTTACAATTGTACCCGGTCTACCTTACTATACATAATGTATAAAGAATAACCGTCTCACTGGATTATCACAATTCGTAATTTGTGGCATAGTTATTATTGTTTATTATATAATAAATATTAATAATAATATTAATAATATTAAATAATATATATTAATTAATGAAAATACTTAATAATTGAATCACACACTCACGATTTTATTATAACAGTGTCATGTAAAAACGACATTTGTTTGTTAGGTAGATTACAAAACGTAAGGAAGTACTTAAGAATCATAAAATATTAATCCAGTTTTAATGTAAACGGATTTACTGATTGTAGACTATAGACACATAATATCCATTTTTATCGCCTACTCTATTGTAAAAACTATTAAATATTTTGATTTGAAATTCCAATGCAGTTTAATATATATATATATATATAATATCTAAAACGTCCAGTAAACGTAAAACAAAAATATATAAGTGGCCTAGTGTAACACGGTGTATGGTTATAGTTACAAACGTATTTTAGACTTCTGGCTGGTGTCATTAGTTCCCGGATGGTTGACCACAAGAGTTTTAGTGTCAAATACTAGCTAATTATACATATTCAAGAAATAGAAACGTTATTCAAGAACGTATAAATTTAAAGCATTCGAGAACATATCGATAAATATTCTTCTGATTAAATGTTCAAGAACGTATTAATTCGATAAATTCTTCTGATAAAATGTTCAAGAACGTAATATTTCAAAACATTATTCTAATTAAATTTACGAGAATGAATAACTTAACAATGGTTATTAAGTAAATCATTCAAGAACTTTAAATTTTTTTACGTTTTTTTGGCGAACATTTCAAAAAACATAAACAATTTTAACGTTTTTCTAGTAAAATGTTTGGTGAACCATTTAGTTTATAACGTTACAATCGAAAACCGTTTGTTGAACATAGCTTGATTTAACGTTTATCACAAATAAAGTTTAAAAACAAATTATGGGACTGAACCAAAAATTAACGGTTAATGTAACCCTGCCTGAAAGGTATAATGAAAAAAAAGTCATAAACGTTATCAAATTTAATGATTTCAATAGACAAACAATGAAATGATCTGAGAAATATTGAACCCATCTATTTGTCCGCTCAGAACTAGAACTACCCATTTTTCTATAATCAGTCCTATAATCGATATTATGAAGTTTGAACAGATTGGAACATAATGCTAATATTAGTTCTTACAGCCTAAACTCTAAAAAAATTATATTTGTCATTAACTATAATCGTGACCTGAACATTTTTCAAAATACTCGTTATTTGATGTCTACGATTATTGAAACGACTAATATGGGCTTGTGAACAATCTATGGAAAGATTATATATATATTCCATGAGTATTTATACACTTTATACATGAATATACACTATGAATGTATTTCCCGCATTAACTAGTTAGGTCCCGAAGACCCGCAGAACGGTCGAATGGAAAACAAAACGACAGAAAAACTTACGTGGTTTCACATGAAAGTTTACTGCAAACGATAACTTAAGAACGGTTTGCTCATCACGACGAACTAAAAACACCAGAGTAAATTGGCGCCTACGACATTAACAAAAAATACCGTGGTCACCAGACACCATTTTAACGATAAAATGTATCATTGTCACCATAAAAAGAAAAAAAAAACTAGAAACACAGTAACTTACGAAAACTTGTGACACCGAGGGCACGACTTTGAATTAGTACACAAAAAGAACAGAAAAATTATAAGATACTAATATAACCACAGATATATACAATAATAATTGCATACTTTATTGTATATATCTGTGGATATATTCCTAAGATGGATTTCACACCTATACCGTTAAATTCGGTTCGGTACGTATTCAATCACAACCGAATCCGAATCATCGAATACGAAGACGTTCAAAGCTCATTATGGAAAAGATAAATTTTTACCAAATATAAGTTCTTGAACACATTTATGCACGATGTAACAGTGCCATAAGGGGCATATCGCCGTCGCCGACCGATGTTGCAATAGAGCAATGAATCGGCGTGCATTGAACGAAAATGTTAACAAACAGACAAATTATTGTCCGCGGTGTAAACTGTAACTATAATACATACACTGACCAATTTTGAGCTTTATCCAAATAAATCATTAGTGTAAATATTCGACTAACTTTTATTTTTTATAAACAGTTATTTTACAATTATTTTAAACTAATCATTTTTATTTAAATCTTGACCAATTTAACAGCATAAACAATTTTACTAAAGCAAAAAAAAGGTTGTCAAAAACACAACATTTTAATATCAAGAGCTGCATTTGAAAAAAAAATAACAAATATTATTATTATTATATCTAGTTAATTTCGATTTTTTGTATTTAAATCGAAATTTGAAAAGATATAATTTTATGTTAAATCAATACTTAGGAATTGAGTACTCCGATAAATATTCTACGTTGTTCGTGAATATGATTTACAACCTTATAACCAATCCATTTTAATGTATTGTGGATAATTTATCAAGATAGTAGGTGATCAAAGGAGTTGACACCGTAACCTTAACATTATAAATAATTATGATAAATAATAAAAAATAAATAAATTGCACTGCGAAATTATGTCCATATAGCAAATCGAAATTTTCTATAATCTATAATAATTATAGAATACTGATATAAATAGCACAATAAACTTTATATTATCATTATGCAACAAAATTATTAAATCTAAAATTTTATGTAACATATGTCTACATACATCAAGAATTTCTGGCTAGATGAGCTATTTGTCCAGTTTTGGTTTTATTTTTTGTTGTACGAGTAGAATAGAAAACCCTTATACTTCCGCATCATTTAAAAAAAAAAATAAAAATAATTAATAATTCTCAGTTAATAATTTAACAAACGTAAATGTTGTTGAATAGTTAACGAAAGGAATAAATGTTTTTTAAATAAACGTTTTATCGTAGCACTCATGCATAGATTTCTTAGGTCAATAAATAGCACACGATTGAGTGCTTTTTAGTGACATACGAAGTTCGAGCCCTATGTTTTGTAATATATTATTAATTTATTTTTTTCATTTTTTCCCTCCCTCCCGTTTAGATGAAGATTTTCGGGCTGCTCTTAGTAGCCGTTGGTGCGATGTCCGTGGCCGACGGAGCCAACATCCTGGGCGTTTTCCCCATAAACGGCCGCAGCCACTGGGCCGTGTACGAGAGCGTGTTGAAGGCTTTGGTGGCGCGCGGCCACAACGTGACGGTCATCACTGCGTTTCCGGAGAAGACACCGCTGTCCAACTACACTGTCATCGACGTGTCCAAAACGTTCCCGTCCGCGGTAAACCAGATTGGCATCGATATAGTGCTCAACTACTTGTCCAGCGTGTTCATCAGCCAGTGGTACATTTCCGACCTCCAGATGAAGTTGTGCCGAGAAAGTCAGAAGCTGCCGGAAGTCCAAGCGCTGCTCAAGAGTGGCATCAAATTCGACGCGGTTAGTGCGATTCTCCGTACTCGAAGTCCTCTTATAATAGGTGCAACTCCTTTCGCCCAAAAATGACTTCCTTCCTCTTTTCTCCCACGTCGTCTTTTCGACTAAAAGTAATAAAACAGTTTCCCCTTTTCATACATGGTTTCATTTTTAACATTTTGGAAAGCGTTGTCTCGAAATTAGTTCAATTAAGCCATTTAGCGTAACATAACAAGTACCACGAGGTTTCTATTACTCTCCAAAAATATGTTGTGTTAAAAATAATTATTATATGATATAAATAGTTGGTTCGTCAAAGAAAAAAGTCATGTCATGTCATGGATTTAATTTATTTTTACATTTTTTGTATAGTTGAATGTCATTTATTTAATGAACTCATACCGACTTAATTCTTCTCCATTATTGTATCTATTACTGTTGGATTGTGTCTTCGTTTTTTAATTGGCGTTCTTTTATTTCTTATCATGAGGGATGTATTGTAATTGGATATTATTTAATTTAATGTAAACATCAATTTGGACTTTTTGTACTATAGTTAACCACGTATAAGTTTACGAAAGGTTACAATTAAATCTTCTGTTAAAAAAATGAGTGAAATGACTCGCATGCATTCGTTGTCCTGATTAACTCTGATGATTTAGTCGCCCAAATCTTTGGTAGGAATATACTTTCATCGGATATATAGTTATCAATTAAATAGTCATAACATTTTTTTTAGTTTTTCATTTTCAGGGCAGTAGTTCATTAAATATTTAACGAAACAATCATCTACCTCTTAGGAATTTAAAAATAGTAAACCAAACGTGGAGTGTATCCACTTACCAAAATCTGAAGATTCGTAGAGTTGTCTTTTTTTATTAGTTGACCCAAAATTGTACTTAAAATTATTATAAAGAACCATACGACCACCCCTTCTGCTTTTTAAAAATCCTATTTTTATGAAATATAGTCCCTACATAAACACTGAAAACAAAATCAAAGAAAAAACGCAAGTCCACTATTTGGTACAAAAATGAACGAAATTCTAAAAATAATACAACATGATCACATTACTTGTTACATAACATCGATAACACTACTTTTATTACGTCAATTTTTCGATAAAATTCCATACAAGATTATCACTTTGAGACAGTGTTTTCCAAAATATTAAACGTGAATAATGGGTGAAAAGTGGAAACTATTTTATTGTTTTTTAGTCGAAAATAGGACATGGGCAAAAAGTGATAGGTCATTTTTGGACGAAAGAAGTACGGCCCCTTATAATAATGTTTTTGATTCCAGGTATAAAGACATAAGTCAATTGTTCACAATAGAAACTTTAATGGAAAAACAACCCGTGCTAACCCGTGCACGTGAAGCTAAATATTCATTGATTTTTTTAATACGATTAAATTCGAGTATCTGAAGTCATAAATGCACTTAATATTATTTTAATTAGCACACGTGATAAATGTTTTTTCTATAATATTTAAAGTTATAATAATCTAACAATTTGAGTTGATTTGTAAAGTTGATTCAATTAGCTGAAACTCTTATTTAATATATAAATAAATAAATAAATATTTTATGTATAATTAATTATAAATTAATTAATAATTGCTTAGCTAGGAGTATTATTATATTTTTAAATTACGACCGGTTTCGAATTAAAAATTGATCGTCAAGGGTATATAGCCAATAAAATTGCGACTCTTTAGTTGGCCGAAGGGAGTTCAGAACGCTATTCGGAATATGTTGAACCCGGTTCACTAGAAAGTCTAGAAAATCCTAAGAGTTGTACTATAGATCTAGAGTTTTCGATTAGCAGATTTTGTTTGATATGTATATTAAAGTTTCCCAAATAAGTATTATAACGAACAAACATTTAATATAAGGCGACCATATTAAAAAAAAAAAAAAATACAGGATAACATTTTTTTATTAATACTGAAGACACTAATGTCTTAATATATATATATATATATATATATATTTTTTTTTTTTTTTTTATTGATTTTTAACTGTGAAAAAACATAATTTTTAATAACACTGTATAAGATTAAATTCATGTTCTTTACTTTTTTAAAAAACTTATTAATTCATTTTAATGACGATTGTTCAGACATATCTTCACTTTTTTGATTTTTCATATTTTTCTGAAGAAGTAATTAGTTTTAATAATTGTGGGTGTTATAAAATAAATCTATGAAATTCTGTATATGAAATATTTTTTAAACGTTGTTAGTCGCTTTTAAATATATAAAATTACATTTTATATTTATATTATAGTTGTATACTACAAGTATAAAAAAAAAAATTGTGAAAAACCTGAAGGAATGACAAATATTGAACGGTTAATAAATATTGATACCTAAATGACACCTTGAAATGTTGCTATTGTTGTTCGAATAAAAATATTAATATATTCAATAGATTCAAAATATTTATACACAATTGCCTAAATATTTACATTATTTTTCCTCAGGTCTTCACCGAAATCTTTGGAGCTGATTGCGATGTCGGTTATGCATATCATTTTAAGGCACCACTTTTGTCCATTATGTCCAGCTCACATCTACCATGGAGCTACGACCGTGTGGGTGGCCCTGACAACCCATCCTACATACCAACGATCGTGACTAGAGCGGTGGGAAAGATGAACTTCCAAATGCGTATGATCAACACCTTGTATTACATTTACTTCAAATTGGCATGGATATATTACAGCGACTGGCCAGCCGACAAGTTGCTGAAGGAAAACTTCGGACCGGACGCACCATACATAAACGATATAGTGTACAACACGTCCATGGTGTTCGTGAACGGACACTTTTCGATGGACGGGCCCCGACCTCTGGTACCAAATATGGTGGAAATCGGTGGTATACACATCAAGCCTCCGAAGCCCTTGCCCAAGGTAAAGATATCCGATGATAGACGATCATTTGTATCTTAGGAGCAGGGTGACCTAAACTGTTAATTATTGGTTCGATTTAATAATTCGTTTTTGAATTTTATTTGCGATAAACGTTAAATTAGGTTGAAAATATGGTTATAGATAGATATAATCTTGTAAATTAAATGGTTTACCGAATATTTTATTAAAAAAAACGTTAAAATCGTTTATGTTTTTTATAAAACGAAGACAGATAAACGTTAAATAAATGTAAATTCTTGATTGAAATACCTAGTGATGTGAGTTTGTATTATATAGTAGTATAAAACTGTATTATACAAGGTATTATATACATGGTATAAAATTATTTTTTACTAACAGTATTAAAAAAAAAAAATAAAAGCGTTATTTTTAGTTATTTTTAGTAACTCAAATATTTATTGTTTAGTTGTACTTATAAAATGGATCTCCAATAAAGTACAGTATTATTATAAAAATTAAAAATATACAATATTATTGTAATCGTGTTAATTTAGAATTCAGGTATTAAAAATAACTAAAATTAATTTATAGTACTATTATAATATTCAAATATTATTAATTTATAGGTATAATGAGATAGTATATAACTATAAAAGCATTAAGTATAGTTTCATCTTTATTTCTATTTAAAAAATATGTATTTCTATGTATAAAATACATACGTATGTTACCTATATCATAATTGCGAATCGATAGCATGACTAAATACTAATTAGGTGAATTTGGTGAAAAATTCTTGTATTTCCTACGTATTTTTTTAATTTATTCTAACTTTTTAGTCATTTTTTTTTTAATTATTCCTTTTTAAAATAATTTATACTTCATAATTAACAATGGTGTGATAACGTTTGTTAAATTCCTTAAAGTTTAAAGTACTGCAAGGTTCTATATGTTATAATACTGGTATAATACCAGTATAATATGATATTATACAAAAAATAAATAAAATACCGTATTTTAACATTTTTAGTTATAATACATTATTATTATACATAATTTGAGTTTTGGTTTTTTGGATTTTAAAGTATTTATTATTCTTATACAATATTAAACCCAAAAAGGGTCAAAAGTAAATTTTGATGCATAACGTTATTTTTAATGTTCGGAGAACCATTTAATTCGTATTGTTCACTGTGTTAAAAGTTTGAAGAACGTATTAGCTTATAATGTTCTTCGTGTATTTTTGAATAAAACTTAATATTGGTTATAACGATATTCATGTCAATTATTGTAAGAATTTATTAGATTAAAAGGTTTTTCGTGAAAAGTCCAGGAAACTTAATAACTATAATTTATATATACATTCATATAATTATAATTTGAATAACCTATAAACCTATTGAAATAATTAGCCTCGTTTCATTATATTTTTGTATACGAACAAAAATATTGTTCAGTTACTTTTTTTTGCATTCCATTTGGTAATCCAACTTAGGGTATAGGTGCGGATTTTAAGGACATAAGGAATGAAAAATTAAGATCAGACCATTTAACTTTGGGTTTGTATCTGTATATAAAAAACATTCTAAAAAATAATTATTTCATTTCTACGATTAAATAAAAGAAATAATTAATAATATTAATATGAAAAAAATGTATTGAATGAGTCCCTAAAATCTTAATAGTATATTAATCGATATTAATTAATAACTAAATTATTTTCATCAAAATGAAGTTATTTTTTTAATATCAGGTATTACATAATTTATGTAATGACTAAGATATTCACACAAAATTAATATAAATAATAATTGCTTTCTATAAAGTTTCTTAACTGTTACGACTTTAAGAATTAAGACGATACTTAATTCTGTTATTAACATTCTATTACTAAATTTTGAATTTTAGCTTTTATCAAATTATCATTCAAGCATATGATACATTTATATTAATCGATTCATCCTTCCAGTTTCAATCATCTTGGCTTCAGATATATGTTAATTAGAACTATTATTAATACTCCAAAACAAATGTAAATTAAATAGAATTTTCAAATATACTTATATATAAAAAAAAAAGTAAAAAAAAATGAGCTACGGTTATTAATCAACACATTCAAAATGTACAAATATTGTATAGCATTCAATACGCATAATACAAACTTCAGGTACACCAAACAAGTGTGATAATTTAAGCTATCTTATCAATTTTAATTTTAGAAATTAATGTATACACTAATAATTATTCACTCCCATTCTTATAATATTGTTGTATCCAATTTATATTTGGTTTTAAAAAAAAAAAAAGGAAAAATTGAGTTTTGAGTGTAATTGTTTGTTTTCCACAGGACATATTGAAGTTTATCGAAGATTCA